GGAAACAACGGCCCCACCTCGCTCAACCTCAGCCGGGGACGAACCGGCTCCAGTCAACTCGCACGCCCAGAGGGATGCAGATAGGGAGGTTCTTTGGTTCTGCTCTGAATAAATCAATCACTCTCCGAGCCACCAATTCAGGCCGCGCTGCTGGTGGAGTCGCCAGCGTACGGGTCCGACCACCAGCTCCCAGCGCCGTCGCGTGTCGCGGGCGAGTCAGCAGCGGAATAAGAAGCGCTTTGTATTTACTGGGCACGGAGCAGAGAACGAACGCCAACGAGCCTCACAAACCTGTTTTTCCTTATCTCCCTGTACAGCGCGCTAAAGTCACTCTATAGATAATTCTCTGGGAGTTGGGGATGTTTACAGGCACATTGTTTTCTCGTATCAGGGCTTGAGGCTAGATTCTCTGCAAGTGTAAACCTGTGGATGCTGATGGGACAAAACCAATTAAAACCAGATTAAGATCTTGCCATATTCAAGCTTAGGCCGGCTGCCATTAAAAGCATAACCCCTGCGAATAGTTAAAAACAGCCCGGCCTGATGGATCATCATCCTTTATTGTCCCAGATACATGGATAAAAGCATTTACATCTGCTAGCTCTCTGTAGGAACTGCTCCTATTTCTCAGAGCAGTCCTCTAGACAGGCCTACCTTGATACCACTTTTCTATAGGCAATCCTTCTAAACACCAACAAAAACCCATGAGACCCTGCGTGCTCTTTTTCTCAGCCTCATATGAATGATTTGGGGCTATCCCTTACCTCTTCCACTAGTCAAAACTCACTAAATTGTCGTGGATCACCAGCCAAAGGACAGGAAAATAGGACCAGGCCAGTGCCAAAGTCAGCAAGACAGTGGGTATTGCGGAATTTTTTGATTTTTTACTAGATTTTTACCACCGAAGGCAACGCGGATGATGGAAGGAGAGAGGATCAGGAAAGAAAGCTGAAGCAACTGTTACGCAGCCACAGCAAAAGGGTGGATAGAGGAGCCACCTCCTCATAGGGCAGCCCCAAACCGAGCCAGCCCCATCCAGCAGGACCTGCGGCCAGTCTCCGTCTCACTTCTCTCTCCAAGGTTGTAAAGATCAGTGGTTTGAGAAAAAAAACACCAGCCTTTGCTCAGGTGGACCATCAGGTCTCTGGGTTTCAGCACAAGGAGCCAACACCTAAGTTGCACCCGGCTCCATCGGCAGCGGCTCTGCTCACGTGCCCTTCGTTTAACAGCACATTCCTTTCTCCCCACCGGCCCCCAGTCCTGATCCCCAGGGCCCAGAGTCTCTCCAGGGTGGGGGCAAGCAACAGCAGATTAGAGCTCCAAAGCTTCGGTTTCATAAGGAGTTACAAACCCCTGCACAATGCTCTTTCCTCCTGGATTAAGCAAGATTTCCCCCAATGGATTAACCTACTTGAAAGAATTCCACAAACAAAAAGAAAATTCACTCAGAGAGATAAAACTAATTCAGTTAAATATTCTTGAGTTATGCACCAGGTACTGGCTGGACTGTTGCAGAGCAAACTTCACACTGTCACTGATGCCTTACGCAGCTCCCCTCTCACACACGACGCCCCTTCCCCACCAACTACTTTGGGAAGGTTCACACTAATTAAAATAAAAAATATTAAAACGGGAAGGACTTGTCCCTTGCAGTTATGATGCCCACATCTAGCCCTCCCCTTTGAACTCCAAGGCATAGACTGTTTCTAGGGTAAGGGGAAGATGTTTTAATTTCTTTTTTTCTTTCTCATCCCCCCCTGTGTCTGCGCCAGGCTTCTGGGAGTGGGAAAAGCGGGGAAGGTTTTGGGGAGGATACCTCATGGCTTGAAATATCCACCTGTGCAATTCTGCTACAACCGCCAGGTCCTCTGCTCCCTCCTCTCCCCACTCTCGCACCATTTCTCTGCCAGGCTCCATGAGAGGAGCTGATGGCTGGGGCCGGGGATTTAAGAACAAGATTCTGTAACAGCATTTACCTTACTCGCAAGGTAAGGTAATCGACAGGATCGATAAAAGACCCCCAAGGATGCTCAGCGGAGGCCAGGAAATCGGGGGTGTCCTGCATTACTAAGCGTGTCCCCATCCTCCTCTGTGTAATTTCCTCTTTCCCACCCAGCACGTGCCTTTTTCTCTACCCCCCGTCGTATCTTTTAAGCTGCAGCTCCAGCTCCCTTATGACTTAAGTGGTTTTCTCCTCTCCAAAGGGCTCAAGAGTCAGGATTTGGTTTCTCCAGCTGCGAGGATGCTCCCTGCAGCTGTGCTCTGTTGGGATGTTTGGCCTCCCTACCCTGAAATAGCGAGAAAAAGGAGAGGCAGGGGATCTCTCCTGCCTTCAGGTCCTCCCCCCACCAACCACCAAGTTCATAAATGGCAAACAAAACACAGATCTGCGATTCGCTGGCAGAGGGAACTGGTTATGACTTGTGCCCAGCCAGCTTAGACTGAAGCTCCACCGACAGAGCAGCGGTTTTACAATTCGGAGAGAACGCAGCCGTGAGGTATTTTTCTGTCCATTTAGACAAGTAGATAGTTTCAAGCCTTGGTTCACCAGGACTTAAAGGAGAAGTACAGTTTCAACTTCTGATGACTTCCCTTCGGGCCCAGTCCCCACCCCCTATCACCTTCTCCTGCCCCAAACTCAGGTCTTCCTCTCGCACCGAGACCTTCTGATAAAATGCCACCACAGAGCCAACACCAGTTTGTACTTAACACACTCACCAACACGGAACGGCTGTCGGGCATTCGGTGCATTCTCTTAGCCAACGCCAGAACAGAGAGAGAAGCAGCCAGGGTCAACTCACAAACAGATACAAAGCAAAGAGACAGAGAGACAGAAATTTAGAGGCCAGTCACCAATAAAGATGGAGAAGGGTGTGAAGATGCTCCAAAATTGCAGAGCCTCTAAATGCATGGAACCAAGCGTTCAGTCACTCTCTCACTCTTGGATTTAATGTTCGGTTGGATGGCATTCTCTTACACGCTGGTAGGGCTGGGCTCTTTCCATTCAATCCCAGCCATTATCCTTGATCATGTGAGCTAGTTCAATGATGTATTTGCCTTCTTTATACTTCTGGCTGCTTTCAAAAGCGTGTTCCTGAAAAAAAAAAAAAGGATAAAAAATAAGATCAAGATGGTATCTGAAGGCAAAGCCATAGCTATAGATCAGATCTGGGCACAGCAGTACAAGTCTTAGCCTCATCTACAGAGTAAAACAGTCAAAGTGCAGGTTAATTAACAATAAAATGTTAATTCCACTGCTGGAGAGGCTCGGGCTTACTGCTATGTTTACAAAATTTTGTATTTTGTTTTACAATAAACTCGGTTTACGTACTTAGTGTCCCTCCCTGTTTCTGAGATCTGTGCTGTGTTTCTGCACGAATTCCTACGGCATTAATTTTTGATGCTTTACTTTTTATAGCCTTTCAATTGATTTATTAAAGAATATTTCTGCCCTGCGGCCAAGATACAATATATGTTTTGTTTAGACACTGGTCAAAATGTTTTGACAAACAAGTACTCCGTGTGCCTCCTGGAGCAGAAATTAGGATGTAGAATAAGCTTTTATTTGAAGGTAATTGAATTTATGAAGAGCAAGAGCCAGCAAACAGATAAACTCATTTTCAATAGCATTTCCAGCGGGAAGGACACAGGATTAACAATATATGGATCATTCTATTATTCTCCTATCATCTGGCAAAACCAGACGATGTGAACCACAAGACTAACTGAAGTTAGCCTCATTTATGTTAAGAATCACTAAGGGACACCGACCAAAACCAGGCCCGTATATTCTTAGTAAAAAAATACATTAGCCACAAAGAACTCTTGTTCTAAATGGATGCAAGAAGGAGGGAAAATGGAAACGCAGGAAGGATAAAAAGACGTGGCTACAGCCCAGAACTCCCATTTTTGGTTCCCAAGGTAATGGTGTTTCCATAAAGCCGTGTTAGCACGCCCACACCTTCAGCAAGGGCTGCAGCGAAGATGCCCACAGGAAGAACAAGGGATACCGATACTCACATATTTCCAACCCAGCGTGGTTTTGCAGTTTTCACAGTAAATATCTGCAACCGCATGTAATCCTGTTAATAACACCCGCTCCTCTGCAGGGCCACAACCCACATTAACTCTGGGGAAAAAGGAGAGACGCTCCCTGTTAGCGCGTGTTGCCACAGCAAGATGCTACAAGGAAGGCGACAACAGTTTTACTGCAGCGTTTGAAAACACAAGCAGGGAGATCAGGATACTGAGTCCCAGAGCTGTGCCAGAAACAAAGATCTCTTGCAGTTCCAGAACAGAAGGGAAAGGTAAAACAGAATTTTTGTTCAACTCAAAATTACACAAAGCTTCGAAGATTAATAACACTCCAGTAAATTGCACTAATTATGCATTTGAGAAAGATTTTTCATTTTCAAACCGATAAAATGTTACATTTACTTTCCCAAATGGGAACTTGAAAAATGACACTGAAATCAGCAGTTCTTCTGAAAAGACATCCCAGCGATCCACCAAAAGTGAATTATTGGGAAAATTATACTTAATTTTTATGCTAGCTCTAAAAAGTAAGTTCGTACTTAGGTATCATTTATTCTCTACACTTGCGAAACTTTGACTCCAGCTACATTCTCTGAGAGGAGAATGACTCATCCATTAGCTCCCATTTCTCCTGGCTGCTTATCTGAAACCTCAACATAAAATCAAATATGAATCAGTGCTATTTCCTGCCTTTCTCCAATCACTTGCAGCAAGCTCCTGAGTCTTAGGCTGAGATTTTCTACAGGAAGATTATCCTTTTGTTTTCTTCTTCATCAGGGTTTTCTTAAGTCTATCCTAAGAGATGTGGAGGTGACACAGACGAAGTTATACTCACACTGAATTGAAGAGGTATGCTCGTCCTTGGCTTCCTTGAAAGGACTGAAAGGCAAGAAAACAAAATTCAGTCGTCTGGCTGACAGAAATCAGGCTAAACCAGGACTTCCCTCGACCACTGCACTAACACCAGTCACAGCAACTGCTACCCGGGGTCTGAGAAACGCACACCGTCACAGCCTGCGAGATGGGGAGAGCACAAAGTGACGTGTCGGGAGATGAGCGCCGAGGGACAGAGGTCTTGTCCTGCGGGTGGGAAAGGGGCAGCTGCCTCCAGTTCGAACGCCTGCCCGTTTCCTGAGGAGCACTGGCAGCCCCCCCGGAACCTCACCTGCTATTACCAGCATTTCCAGCGCTGTACAAGTCCAATTTTAAGAGTTTTGAAACACCTGATGATACATGAATTCCCCTGCACGCACGGACGTTGAATCAAACTGAGAGACTGAGACCTACCTGTGGAAGCTCCTGCACACACAAACACAACCCCTACTCCAGCGATTTCACACAACACCTGAACCTTGCTGAGGTGACTGCAAGCCTTCCTATCCCCACCAATGCCAGGGAGATCTTTGTGACTGGATCTAAACGCAGGATGAGATACAACTGGATAGAGATGAACGCAGACGAGAGAACCACACAGCCGCAAAACCACACCAGATAATCACCAGTCCCTGCCCCATGTTTCCCCGTGATCTTACAGCACTGCCACGAACAGGCAGGGTTTCGAGGCGAGCGGAGCAATGCCAGCCCGGCAGGGCCGGTAGCTGGGACACTTCCACGAGCCAGCAGAGTCTCCGTTTGTGTCAAGTCTGTAACGTTACCCCGTGATGGTGCTTCGCTTACAAGAGCCGGCTGACACACAGCAAGCGCTACCTGCATTCTTAATGTACTTTGACAAGCACACACTGAATTAAGCATTTTGTGCTTATGAGCAAGAGCGCAGTTGCTCTCTGTACACAAGTTACCTTAGGAGATACCCTGGGGGATGCATGCACTGAGGGGCAAGGAGCTGGGAAAGTCAAAGAGCAGCTTTTCTGGACCATTTAATTCTCTACCTTGCACCTTGCCAGGAACGTTGGAATATTTAATGGTTTTCTTAAAAACTCAGCTTCTACAGATAAGCAACGATTTCAGACTAAATACTCTTAAAAGCAGCGAGATGGGGTTTTGAGAGAGAAGAGAAGCATTCCAAGTTTTACCTCCCCGGCTCACTAGCACCAGTCTTCTGTTTAGTTACGAGCAACTCGATCCTGGAGCAGCACAAACATGTCACATAAAGCAATCTCTGGGGGGGTCCCTGCCTTTCCCAGTTTGTTCTCTTCTGTCAGCCCAGCCCGAGGGATGCACCCCCACGCCTGCCCAGCCGCTGCCTCAGCGGAAAATCCGCTCCCCAGCAGGAGAGAACAAAACACGCTACAGGCAGGATTTAAAACTGCCCTGACAAGAGAACGAGAACAGCCGGTCACGGTGTTTAGCCTGGTGCCCTTTTTGGTGTCAGGGTACCCCGCAGAAGCGGTGAAAGCCCACTGGAAGATCCCCAATTGCAAGAACATACGCAAGAGGCTCCTTCCCAGCGAGCAGGGGCACCTCTGCGGGCGCACACGGAGCCACAGCCCGCAGCGAGAGCTGCCTGTGAGGTCTGGGTGGCAGCGAGGGCTCTGCCAGCTCTAAGTCACTGCCTGGCAAAAAAACTGACTTGAGTCCTGGAGGAACAACTGTTCTTCAGAGGGATCTGAAGCCTGAGATTAGCTGCCACCCAGGGCACAGAAGAGCCACTCTGGATTCAGAGAGGACGCCTGAGGCGCTTGGGTATCTCTGTCACTCAGACAAAAGCAGTGCCCTGAGGAATGCCTCTTTTCTTGGGAAGGAATTAAATAGGACACATGGCTCAAGCATGTTTGTGTAATTGCATTTATTAGAGAAGCTTCTTTTAATCCTTCTGCAGCATTCAAGTTCTTTATTGTTGTTACTGTCAGCTGGCCGATACCCTACATGCCAACTAGGTCTGGCCTGACTGCTACAAAACACACGCTGCATTGTTTCAGCGTCCTGTGTGGTAAAAGCAGGAACCGACACGAAGCTGATGCCTGCCCAAGCCAGGAGAAAGAGTCCAAGCCAGACCCAGGCAACGCTCCTCCTTGCCACAGCGAACCGCAGAGGCATCGGCCGCCCGTGCTGCCCAGGAGAGGCACCGGCCTCCAAGGCAGGGCTGCGGTGGGGCACGGGGATCAAACAGAAGGTCCCACAGCGACGTGCGTGCCGTCAGCGCAAAACGAAAGCAGATGAGGCTTGCTCAACCATCCCGTCCTTCCCAGTAAATTCTTTTCCATAAACACCAAAATGACCGAGTTGGCCAATAACAACAACCACCAGAGCAAAGTTTTTATTGGTACAGAAATAGGATTTTCCATTACTGCTGTACAAAGGCCTGTCTTTAATAAACAACAAAACCAAACCCATCAGCTTTGTGTTTGGGGCTCGCTGGACACTGTTCCAGCCTGCTCTCAGGGGACAGGAGCATCCTTTCAGAGATGCCCTTCCTTCCAGCTCAAGCCAGTGCTTTAGGGTATCTAGAGCAGTCCCTGCCAAAAAATCCCATTAATTTTCTCCTACTCAAGCAGAACTTTTCAACACACCACTGCTCAGCTTTCAGTGCTGCTGCCTGTCTTAATATTCACCCTCCAGCAAGCTAAAGATAAAAAGAAGAGCAAGAAGTCTGGCAACCACCTCAAGTTCACCAGTGCCTATGCCCTCTGCAAGACTAAGCCAACTGTGTCTTTATGAAGGTAGCGCAGCCTGGTTTTATCTGGGTGTTGCAGCCTCAGCATTTTCTGGTTCCTTCTGGCTCTGCAAGAAAATTGGCAGAAAATGCTCTAACAGGCACCATGAAATCAGAATAAACAGGTATATTTATACACAAACAGATGGTTTGTGGTTGTGTTCTTTGTTTGTTTTCTTTTTTTTTTTAAAGGAAACACACAAAATTTCCACAACACGCTTGGTTTTCACTGAACTGTGACAGTCAGCAGCAAGACCTACTTTCTGTGCTATGTATTTTTCCTATGTAGATTTTCCTGATACACATTGAAAGGTGTATCTCACACACACGCTTATAAATCCAGACTCCTCATTCTCTAAAACAACAGCTCTTGGCATCGCCTTCCCGCTGAAAGAAATGGAAAGGATTTTTTTTCTGTTGCTGTTTCCCACTGAAAGCCCAAGCACATATTTTTCTCTGCACTGTTACCACTCAGTGTCTGGCTGGAAACACATCTGTACATGCCAGCAACAAAACTCTCCCTCCCCATCCTGCCCTCGCCCTCTAAAAAACAATACACGCTTCTGAGCTGCGCAACGCACAACAGCTTATTCCTCCCAACTGCTCACGTTCAAAAAACCTTCCTTGCTCCTGGGTGCTCTTGTACTGAGCACGGAGGTGTCTAAAAGCTGCAGGGCTGAAGGAGAGCTGATCTGAGTATCCAGGTGGGAAACCACAAGCCTGGAGTCAGCTGTGTGGCTGCAGATCCTCGCCTGCCAAGCCGTCTCTCGTCAGGGCAGAAGCTCAGTGTTGAGATGCCTTTGGCAGCTGCTCTGGTTTAAGAAGTTCCTCTCGTCCAATTTACAGACACTCATTGCGGCCCCATCAGCTGTGCCGATTCCAAATTAGATCTGTGGAATCATTATTTTAAAAATCAAATTCTTTGTAGGAGGTGGGTGGGTTTGAGGGGAAAAGCTTTTTCTCCTTGTAGCATGTAGCGTGGATCCAGTTTAAAGGGTGATCACGCAGACAACTTAATAATGAGGGCAGACACAAGTCCTTCAGAGTAGGAAGTTCTCGATCTGCTGGCAAGGAAGCGCCGTGCAGAACTGCAGCTCTAGTGAGACAGTCTGCAGGACAGGGAGTTTGGGTTTCACAGACACTGTTAAACCAGATCTGCTGCAGAAGGAAGCCTAATGGGCAGCCAGCACCGAGGAAGTGCCAGCTCCTCTGTGGCAAACATGTTCTGCTCGCTAGAGAGGGGCTCAGCCTGCAAAACTCAAAGTTGAATCCTTGTATGTTCAACACTCATGACCTTGGGAGATGTCATTTTGGTTTTAGTCCTTTTGGCGTGTTCTGGTTTCAATCCCAAGTGCTGAATCCATCACTCCGCTCTGAGCAAGATGCACAACTCCTTCATCAGGGGAGCAACAGCGCGCAGACAACCACGGATGCATGTAGAGAAGGGCTAAGCCCCTCCATCCCGTTGCACGTCCCACCCGCCTTCCCACCGCCATCAGCCCTTTGCACTTGCACGACCCCGTTACTGGTGACTGCTGGAGACACAGAAGGGAATTTTTACGTTCAATCAGTACAGCCGGGGAAAGGCATGAATTGTGAAAGCGCTCCAAACATGCCTACCCACCATGCCCCTTTTCCCGAGTACCTACAGCTTCTCATTCACGGTGCAGACCACTCAGCAGTTCCACACACTGAACAGATGACAGGATTAATACCCCAAGTCTTTGTGATGGCACTTGACAATAGGCTAAACACAAAAAGAGCTGGCTGGGATCATCTGGAAAAATAGGAAGCCGTTGCCAGGGCTAAAGGGCTACATCCTGATGCTCGTTCTCTGCAGAGTGCAGCAGAGAAACCCCTCCCCACTTACCTATATCCAGCTGGCAGCCTTTTAAGAAACCAATAAAACAAAACCAAAAAGGCAACTGGTCTCAAAGAGGTACAACAGGAAAAAGGAACAGAGTGTGCCCCTCCATACTACACTCTTGAAAGCTACAAATAATTCTCACTGCGACGACGCAAACATGAACAGAGGGCCCAAAGCCACTGACGGAGATCGACGGCACGTCCCAGGCAACGCAAATTGGTAGCGTCAGGGGAAGCCAAGTGACCACAGCCGTCTGACTCGTCAAAAAGAGGACACGTTGTCTGTGCGATATCCCCACTGAGACAGAGAAATTCAGTGAGTAAGAGAAACAGCATTACGAACTCCTGGGTTTAAGAAGCACTGAAGTCTGTGTGAGAAAAAATCACCCGACGATCTATT